TTCCTACAGGAAAATTAACGAGCAAAACATCCATATTTTCTAAATAAAGAAAAATTATACTTTCCCACAGGCTTTGCTAACAAATAGACACATATATTTAAACATCCGTGGTTTCTACATAAAAGGTACAGTGAATAATATTCTTTCAGGTTTGAGTTTTGGGCCAACATCTTTTCTTTGTCATTACTAACCTACTTTTATCAATAATTATTAGGCATAAAAATGATATTCACAAATACTAATATGAACATAAATTGATCATTTTATAAGTTTTTATTAAAAATAGTTATTTATCTTTGATCTCAATGAGGACTCCCAGATGACTTGCAGAGAGACGTAATTTTCTCTTTACCCCATAAAACACAAAACCTAGTTCTGAAAAGAGCATGAATTCTGTACTTATCTTTAATAAGTATGCCAAAACCATTCAGACAATAAAAGACCTGAAATATTTCAGTTTGTGTGTGATGAATCTAAAATATATGAATGTTCAGGTTTGATCATAACATTATGGAAAATAATGAACTTTATCACAATATGCTAATATTATGAGAAGGCCCTGTGTGTATATATTGAAAACATTCCACTCCACTGAAGGTGTTTCCTTCTCAGGGTGTCAAAGGTATTAATATTTATTAAACAAGTAGAAGTATAAATCCTTCTGTTTAAAAAAACTTTTGTAGAAGTTAGAGAATCAACGTAAGCTTTTTACCAAAGTAAAAGTGTTAAACTAACATTTTAAAACAATTTAAAATATTAAAGTAAACCATGAAGGGAAAAATGTTACGACAGAAGCTTTACTGCACCACCCTTTTAAAGGATCATCCATCTTCTTCCTCTTATCTGGGGTTAGCAGCTTCAGTAGGGAGGCCCAGACATCTCTCTCTCCCGCCACTTGGGGAGGCCACAAGGCGCTCCCAGGCCAGCCCAGAAACATAGTCCCTCCAGCGTGTCCTGGGTCTCCTCCCAGTGGGACGTGCTTGGAACACCTCACCAGGGAGACGTCCAGGAGGCGTCCTAACCAGATGCCCAAGCCACCTCAACTGGCTCCTCTTGATGTGGAGGAGCAGCGGCTCTACTCTGACTCCTCCCCGGATGACTGAGCTCTAAGGGGGAGCCCAGACACACTACGGAGAAAACTCATTTCAGCTGCTTGTATCTGGGACATCATTCTTTCGGTCATGACCCAAAGCTCTTGACCATAGATGAGGGTAGGAACGTAGATCGACCCGTAAATCAAGAGCTTTGCTTTTTGGCTCGGCTCTCTCTTCACCACCACAGGGCCCGCTTCACAGCAGACGCCGCACCGATCTGCCGCTCCATCTTCACCTTATTCGACAAACAAAAAGGATAATTTTCTAAAATTCTGGACGATAACACTTACACTTAAGTTTCTTCGTTTTATAGCTAATGTTAACAGTGTCAAAATTTATTTTGCATCATCTTGGAAAACTAGTTTGGTTTGTGGTAAACAACAAGTTGGACCAGCACCAATTGTTTGAATGAAACTAATTATTTTGATGGGTTTTATTTTTTTTTAATACCATCAGGCCATAATGAAAATGAGCTCAAATGACAAAACTAATGAGTCTATTTTTAAAATTTAAGGAGTAGAACTAAAAAGTTTTATAAAATTACTCCAGTAAAGTAGAGAAAATTTCTAGTTAATTAAGGTAACAAAGTATTTGTAATTTATTACTTAAAACCTCTGCTCAGCGCCCTTTCCCTGTTATTTTGCCCAGACATCACTTTTCTTAAAGTAAACAACTTTTAATAAGGACTTCAACATTATTTAATCTCAGTTCTTCAGGCTAATAGTACAGAAGTTTTACAGCGATGGTGGATTTCAGCATCAAAAGGATGAAGAAGAGCCATGAAAAACTGTTTTATTGGTATCAGTATGTTACGTCGTACCCTATCCATGATTGTTTTTTGGTTTTTTATGTTCCTGTATCTGTATTTTCATCTCTTTTTATTTATTTTTTTGTATTATTTGTAAAGTGACCTTGAGTGTCAAGAAAGGCGCTGTTAAATAAAATGTATTATTATTATTATTTAACCCTTTACAAACCTGACCTTATAGATAAGTAGCTGTAATATTATTTATATATTATATATTTCTCCAAACCTTGAGATATTTACTGACTGCTTCAACTAATCAGACTCCTGAGGGAGATTAAATGAAACATAAGGGATTTATGTTTGTAGCCTTTTAATGAAGGATAAAGATTATTCCTGACACGCTAAAACATCATAAGAGACTGCATAGACTTATCAAATCTTTTTATTTCATTAAACAAAATATGCAGCGAGGAGGAAGAGGGTTTTCTCTCTTTACCACAGGCAGGTTCAAAAGCAACAACTCAAAGCGTGACATTTAAATGGCAGCTCAACATTTCATTAAACATAAAGCTAATCAAACATTTAAACCCTTGAACTGGATTCAGATTCATTCAAACTGAAGGGGTGCATGAAACATTTCCTTCTTGTTAGGATTTAGACAGAAAGTCTTCCTTCTTTAACTAGCAGCTGTATCAGATTTATTAAAGAATAAAATGTTAAAATCATACTTGGTATAAATTCATATTGAGGGGGGAAAAAGCAGCAGAAAAAAAAAAATACATATTTGCATGCAAATAATGAGGTGGAAATCATTGAATCACATGGGATTTGTTTGTCTTTTCATGAAACCGTATTTAAGCTTTTCAGTAACCGTCGTTTACTTATTAATACGTCACCATGTGACCTTTCCTGGTGGTCAGACAGACCAACAGGAAAGGTCAACAGGATTTTAACCGATGAAATAAGGAACATTAATAAGGAACTTCCTAGCGAATGGGTTGCTAACATGACTGCTGCAGCTGCACGCTTGAAACGCGATAAAAAAAAAAAACTTTTCATTTCAATAAATAAAAACCTGTTGGACAAACAGAGACTTCAGATTAAAATCCCAAAGCTGTGAAAAACATTTGAGAAAAAAAGGAATTTTTGCAGAAATGTAATTCAGACACCAGGCTGATGCCAGAAAGATTTTAGCTTTATTATAAATCTCTATTAAGCAACCAAATGGATCACCTTAGTGGCCAAAATCCTCAGATTAATTTCAAATTTACAGAATTATTAAATATTAAACCAGTATTTAAGCTTTAATTAACCTTTCAAAGTGCTTTAATCTAAGTACATCTCAATCGATTAGAAAATCATCAATTCAGAAATCTTAATTCTGCCGGAGCAAATTAATTCATGTTGATAGATTCAGACATTTCTGTCAAGTTTGATGATTATTAACTCAAAATTCATTTTCAGAGAAATATACCAGTTATCCTGAATAGAGAGCTGATTAGTTTGGGGAGATTCCTACAGGGAGAGAAGCTGAAGCCGGTGTCTCCAGTCATCGCACAGACTGGTTCAGTACATGAGCCACAACTTTAAAAAGCATTTTATAGACCAATAAAATAAAAATAACTGCAGATCAGTGGTCTAATATCACCTCCAGGTATAAAATACTACTGAGTTTTATTTGGAAGTCTATGATGCTTAAGGTAAAGTTTCCATGGGGATGATTTCAGGAGCCGCGGCGTCTGGTGTCGGTCCACCATGTTTTAATCAAGGTCAAAGTGAGTGCAGCCGATCCTGGAGAAAAGTTTTAAAGAATTCATCAGCTACATGCTTCCCTCTTTAGACAACCTTTACCACATGAGATGCTGATTTCATTTGTTAGTATTTAGCATCTGCCTGATCAGCCAAGCGTATTGGATAAGAGCGCCCATGGCCGACACTGACAAGCTTTATTAAAGAGAGTTCCTGAACACATCAGCAGAGCCATAAGCTGATCCTCTACATGCCTCCCTGGATGGCATGTCGGCCACTACTGAGTTAATTACTGAACAACATAACTTCTATAATAAAGTTATTTACTGAATTTACAATTTTTTTTAAAACTGTAAGCTTTAAAGAACAGAACTGAACAAAATTACTGAATTAAATCAACTTATTAATCATGATGCTGTTTAACTCTCAGCCTTTATCCAGTTATTATGCAGAAAGGATGTCTGGTGGTCCCTGCTGCCATTGCAGCTACAGAACAACAGTAACGGGAGCAGACGGCCATCGATAAACACAGCAAACACGGAGCTCACCTTCAACACTGACAGAAGAAAGCAATCGCTTTAAGACTTCCATTGAACCACGCAGACATGAAACATGTTCTCCATCTGATGGAGATCCAAACAAACACGCCTCCCGCTGAGGCATGTGGGACGGGGCTGCGTCCTCACATGGAGAGAGGAGGGGGGAAGCTCAACAATGGAAGGTTCCCCCCAGCTTCTCCTTTTAACTTTAAGTAGAATGTGTAAAAATAAATACAGCACTACTCCAGAGGCAATTTCACTTCAGCAGCGAGTGAGGGACAGGGGGAGGTAGTAGGGGACAGTTTGTGGGCAGACTGCGCCTTCTCTGCTCAGCTCAGGGTTTGAATTTTCTCCAGAAGCTCCGGTTTGAGGAGGGTGGGGCTCTTTCCACCCGCAGCTGCAATGTCAGCCTGCACGGCCGCATCCCAGGCAAACGTCAGCAGGGCAGCGGGGACCTGCAACAAAAAGACGGATTTATTACATGAACGCATCCAGTTAAATGAAACAACTTGAACTATTTCTCCTCATTAAATACTCGCGGTGTCGCCTGTTTCCCAAGCAGACACCCAACTCACCAGGTTAGAGTCTACCAGAGAAACTTCCTCAGACTCTTGCAGCTTTTGACCTCCGGGGGCGATGAGCTCAAACGGCTGCCAGCCGTCCACCAGCGACTCCCGGACGAATTCAAAGAGTGCAGGCAGGCGGTCCCAGGCATAAAATGTAGCTGTAAAGAGGATGAACGCCATTCGAGCTGAGTTTGAACCATTCCATTCAGTGCAGCCACTAAAACTGAGCTATCTCTATAGTTATGCTGCTATAGGCTTAGACCTCTGGAGGACATAGGGACCCCCATTTCATCATTCTCTCTCTATTCCCCTACTCTGCAGAATCTGTTCGTTCAATCTCTAACATTCTGCTCTCTCTGCTTTTTGTCATAGTAGCTTCATCTGGTCTGTTCCTGTTTGACATGTGATGTGAACTGGCGCTATAGAAATAAACTGAATAGAATTGAATTGAATTAAAACTAAGCTGGACACTCGAAGCCTACAGATGAGAAGAACAGAAATGGAAGGGGAGCTCACCCTGCAGCAGGTTCCCATCAGGCAGTCTGATTCGGAGCAGGGTATAGTTGTATTTCCTTCTCTCCCTCTGTTCCTCCTTCTCCCTCATAGCTTTTGTGCGAAGCATGGCGTTCCTCTCCACCAACTCACTTCTAGGAAACAGAAAACACCCCGAATAATTTATAGCTCTATTACTTCTAGTTGCACGTGAAGCAGCTAATAGAAGTGGCACGTACCTCTGCTGCTGCTCCTTCTTTAGCTCCTCTGCGGTCAGGTTGTAGAAATCGGACGGCAGCTCGAAGCGCTGTGCGTTGGGAGACGGTCGGAAAGCCTGAGGCTGCCGGTCCAGTTTGGCTCTGACTGGCTCTCCTCTCTGAAGACGATCTCTCCGCTCCTTCATCAGCTCCAGGGCGTCACCACTTTGCTCCGGTAAGACCAGAAACTCCTCTTCCTCCTCTGATCTCCATTAAAAGTAAAAATGATAACAAATGTAAACACTGAATAATCCTTCCTGGATTCTTAGCTGGATTTAGGCCTGAAGCAACTGGGTTGTTTGAACTCATCGATAATTTTATTTCAACTCTGGTTGAATGTTTAGAGTCGCTGTCCTTCATCACACTTTTGGGTGCTTCGCAGCCCCGTGTTTCACTCCATTCATCTATGCTTTAACTTGAAGGGGCTTCTCTGTCCCTGCTAAGGAAAGCTAAGCCCACAGCACTATACTGCCACCACTTTTTAGCTACGAAATGCAGGTTTCTGGATATTTTGCCTTAAAACAATTAGCTTTCTTCTTATAGCATGATTCCTTAAGAGTTAACTTCTTGGCTGTTTCTCTCACTGATTCTTTCCTCACTAATGTCACATTGAGCTGTTTTTGCTCCATCGGGGGTCACAGAGCAACTTTTACATTCACGCCAGCGAGCAAAACTCGTTTTGTGCCGCAAACATTAAGTGATCCTTTATAAAGAGAGGAAAATTATAACTTATGTTTAAATAAATATCTACCAAAGATTTGTCAGTTGTTTAAAAAATAAAATGTGGTGCTATTTCATAAATTACGTTTTAAAATGAAGGAAAAATAGCAAAGAAATAATAATAATAAATAAATAAATACATTTTAATGGGTTCCTGATTTTTTTTTATTTAAAAAAAACAGGGAAAAACAAAAATTTTCCCCACTGAAAAAACAAATAATACATTTCTGTTATATTTAGATTCCATTTATTTAGGAAATTCAACGTAATTAGTCAACAGAGAAAATTCTAATCAGCATTTGTTAGAATACCTATTTTTCCAAAGATTAGCTTTTCATCATTGTTTAGTCAAAATGATGAAGAGCCCCAGGCTCAAGACATCTGTGATAGATGGGGCAGAAGTTTGGAATATCATCTGATGAGTAAATAATAAGTTTGCTGTGGTCCTCAGTCTTTCTGATAATACTGACTCTCTAATATTCTCCAACAAACCTATAATGATTTCACAGAACAGCAGGATGTATGCTGAGTAGCTTAGACACAGCTGGACTCTGGGTTGTTTTATTAAAGGCACTGTTTTTCCTTCATTTTATGCAGGAGTATCAGAATAAAAGGGGGTTGAATCCAGATGTTTTTATTTGAAAATTAAAAAATAAATGTCCTTCTAATTCACAATTATTCCCTTCTTTAAGTTAACATGTGTAGCTTTATCCTGAACAACCTGAGCAAAGTTCGGAGGGTGTGAATATTTTTTGAAGGGACAGATCTGAAAACAGCAGGATTCATTTACCTTGGCCGTCTACAGGAAGCATAACACTTATGAAGCCCAAAGCCTGCAAAAACTCCCGACTTCCCTCCACAGGACGCACTTTCTCCTGAAACACATCGAGCAATGTTTTTAAAAATCAATGGAAAACAGATTTCTGCATCAACCATCTTCCAAATGCTTTTTAATCAAGTCTGTCCTAAATCAGAAACACCTAATTTGCTCTAAACTCACCTGGAAGACCTTATTGCTGACTTTGATCTTCCTGTACTTCTCCTCTGATGGATTCTTACATATATTATCAACATATCTGTAAATAAAAAAACAAGAAATACGGAATGGACAGTTTTTTATGATAAATGCTAAAATATATCAGTCAATATGGAATATGTCTTACTTGCTGATGATGTCCACAGCTGCCTTCACTTTCTCTCTATCTTTGTTAAATGTGTGGATCATCATAACAGAAGCCTCGATATCATCCTCCTCAAAGCGCTGACGGTAAAAACACAGAACATGAAACCACATAAAACCCCCACCCCCCCCGAATCACATTTAGAGCCTGTTGTGTCTGCCTAAGAGCCTCAGACATGTTATAGTTTGCCGTCCTCAGACATACCATCAGAATGGCCTCTTTAATGTGGACTTCCCTCTGACTCTTGGTTAACGTGGCTCCAGTGAGAGGGCAGGTGAAGTAGACGCCGGACACAGAGAGGCAAGCCGGATCTTTCACTTTGGATCCCTGGAATAAATTCAGTTATTGCCGTTAGCTACAGCTATCCACTTCTTTGCTCATCAGGTGAAATGGTGGCGTACATCATGCTCCAGATGGAACATACCTCGGCTGGGAGAGTGGTTTCCTTCTCTACCAGAGCCGCTGCCTCAGCCTCAAGTTCTCTTTTCACTGCAAAGGAGAAACGGATTAGTAAAGCAAAGAAAACTAATCTTCTTTCATCAAATTCTTGTTAGATTCAAATAAAATTTGAGTGTTTAGACTTTGCTTCAACACAGAGCAGCAAAGTAAAGTCCAGTGAACTCTTATGGTTTAAAGGTACTATTACTGATAACAGATAATGGGTGTTGAGTTGTTTTTATAGACTACTTCTAATAGCACGTTGTTGCAGAAGCTGTATAACTCCTTCTACTTGCATTGCCTTTTCCATTTTGCAAGGATTAAAAATGTATTTATAGGACATGTTTGGTGGTTCAGAGGTCCTCCACATTTTTCAGGACATCCTCTTCAGATTTGTCAGTTGCTTTTTGAGCCAGAGTTTCAAGTGTAATTTAAAAAACTTTAAATATGGATTCTTTAAAAAATAAAATCACAGATTGAAGGACTGATGGCCCGACGGAAATATTAATGAATGGAGGAAAAAAACAAAAACAAACAAAGACAGCCAGATGGAAAGTATAGAGGGAAGAGTGAAAAATTTAATAATTATCTGATAGTTGGATGGAAAAATGGATGTGCAGATGAAAGAATAGAGGGATGGAAGGAAAAAAGAATATGTGAATAAATAACCAGCTGGAGGAATTGAAAAATCTAGGAGAAAAGATGGGACACATGGTTGAATCACTGGGTGGAAACGCAGCTCCTTATTGGATCCCTCTTGGTAACTTTTTACATGAAAACCAAAACAGTTTTTATGCCCACTAATTAAAGCCTGATGATAAAGCAAAAGGTATCTTATATATTAACAATTTCTAGAAAAATACAAAGTGCATGTTACTATAATTATTAATGTTGCATTAATCAGAGAAAAAAAACAGGGAAATGAGTATAGATCAGTCAGATTAGAGAGGAAACCATCCAGCAGCAGGCCTGTGTGATCCTCACCCTGGTTCCTGATGGCATCCTGGGAGGTGTGCACTTTAGGCCGAGGCTTCTGCTCGATCCGGGCCAGGGCCGCGGCCCCTGCCATCTGTGCCCCTTCGCTGGGAGCATGCCTGCTCTGCTTGGAGCTGCTCGGTGCCGCGACTGGCTTACTGCGGAAGCGATCATCAACACGTCATGAGTTCAGATCAGAGCTTCAAAGCCTTCTGAGTGAGTTAGAAGGCATAACTAAGCAGCGCTGCAGCGAGTCAACTGGAGCATCGCTGCCAGATCTGTTTAATGCACTTATTCAGGCGGCTTCTTTAGCTTTAGCGCTTTAAGCTTGTTGGCGGATTAACTGTCAAAGTTAGCACGGCGTCTCCTACCGCCTGTTGTTTACATAACAAACTACTAACAAATAAAAACATACCAAGCCAAAACTGAAATATAAAAATGTTTGATGAGTTGTCTAACAGTTTATCTATGATTAACTGAGTAGAAAGAAGAAAATCGTTTGAATTGCCTTGTTTCTTCGGTTAACTTCTTCCCGGGTCCTGCAGATTTAAATTTTATGTCCTTTTTAATATCTTCAAATAGCTTCTTCATCTTCTGGATCCGTCAGTAAAAGAAAACCATCAGAAAAGATTGTTATCAGCAAGTCAAGAGCAGCAAGCTACACTAAGCTAGGAGGTGGAGCAGAACCAAAACAAAATCCATAAAAAAAACCTGCTTCCGTCTCACCAAATAAATATGTCGCCCCCTGGTGGCTCGGAAAGGAACTCACTTCTAAAGGCTGTATCCGCCTAAAACGGGACTACAATAGGATACAGCTTCCAAACATTCTCTACTTGTTAATCTCCCACATTTATTATTAAAATCACTTAATGATACTGATGTTCTTGTTACTTAAGTACAACAATATAATCTGCCTATTTTTGCAATTGTCTTCAACAGAAACACACAATGTCCCACATCCCATGTGTGAGTGTGAGGTACTTGTTTGTATGACAGACAGTGATCGCATCTTAAGTGATCCTTCCTGACAATTTTACCAAAAACCCTTTTCTGTTATAAAACATATTGTTTAGAAATATACTTTTCAGAAAAAAAACTAAAGTTTTCCATTTATATTGATCAAATTTATGAAACAATGTTTACTCTCAGTTGATTAGTAATATCATGGCATTTTGCAGTTATTAAATAAAATGCTTTATCATAGTTTGAATTCTATTATCTATTTCTTTCTATTATTAAAATGTCTTTGAACTAAAATACATTGAAAAGCTGCAAAAACAGAGAAAACCTAAAACACTTGTTTTCACTTTACCTTAATAAAGTATTAATTTATTAAATCTCACAAGTTTTTAAAAAAAATCAAATTCAAACGCAAGCAGTTTCGTTAATAATAACATGTTCTGTAAACGCATCATTTCATCATCTCCTCCTCACTGCTCTCACGTTTACGAGGAGCACCTGAAGGCAGCATACCGTGCGCTGATGCCACGTTAAATGTGACGTAGCAGGAGGCGGAGGCCGATGGGCGGAGTCATCGCAGAGTGTAGTTAGACGGGAACCACACAGCAGTACATATTAATGCTTTTAACAGCAACGGGAGACTTGGAGAGAGGTGAGGGGTTGGTTACTAATATATTTTTTGAATGATAATGTTTATATAAAGCTATTATTATTACTATGTGGTGATTTTCTGATATAAATATGTGCTCGGCACCAGTTTCCTGACAGCATGTCTGAGCTGCTAATGTCAGGTTGATAAATGATGATTAAAAGCTCCCTTATGGGTAAAATAGAGCTTTATGGAGGTAATTCTGTCTGTGTTTAGTTTCTATGCTCGCCCTGGAATGAAGCAATTCTCCAGTTGATAATCAAACATGAGTCTCATTCTAGGAAACATCAATGTTTAAGTTTTCAGGGCTGATGATTCAGAGAACAAATCATTTCTCTAAATCAGTTTAATCTGAGACATTTCAGAAGAAATCTCCTGGAGGATTTCCTGCTTTATAAAGCTGCTTGTTAAGGGTGTGTGAGCAAACACCAACCATTTAAGTCATGGTTTCATTTCAATGCTGGATGTTGAGCTGTAACCAGTTCTGTCAGCAGCCAGGCTTTGTTTCATCCCAGTTCCTACCCACTTAAATCTACTTCTATCATCCTTTCATTTAGTCAGATTTAGCCCTCATCTTAAAACATAATCTAATTCAAATGTTTTCTGTTTGGTAGTCATGACAGCATAATTAAATGTTCAATGTTTTCTTGTTTTTTTTTGCAGATTTAACCCAAATCCTTATCAATCATGGACCCAAACACCAGCGGACTGGAGCAGAAGTTGGCTGAAGCGGGCCAGTCTCACCTCCTGCAGTTCTGGAAGGAGCTGAGCCCTAAAGAGCAGCAGAACCTCTTCCAGGAGCTTCAGGGTTTAGATTTCCAGGAGATCAACGGGTTCTTCAAGAACGCCATGGAGACGTCCAGCAACAGCAAACACGAGAAGATGGACGGCCGCATGGAGCCGGTTCCCAGGGATGTACTCGGGAGTGTGACGAGAGACAGGGAGAGCCTGAAAGACTGGGAGGTCAAAGGTCAGTCGGTCAGGCCGTTCACATTTTTTTTCTTGCCTTTAAAGAGAAGAGTCTTTATTATCCAGCAGAACAATAAGGAAGCAGGAAAATGTTTTTATTATTGTTGTGCCGTCTTTTATCCAGTAGAAAAAAACCTCAATCATATTCTAATTTTTCCTGGAAAACAAGCAGAGAAGAGGCTTTAACCCGGATTATTTTGGGTTTTTACCTCATAATAAAGGGAACCAATTTACTGGTATCGCTCCGGGAAGCTTAACGAGATTAAAGCATCACATGGCGGCCCAGATCATGTGATACAGACAGAGGCTGGTGCATTTTCTCATGTCTTCCTTTGGGAAAGTTCAGAGAACCTACTTCCAGATCCTCAGAAGGAAGACATTTCAGTGCATCTACTTCCACAGCCGCAGCCCTAACAGCAGCAAAACCATCCACTGACTCACTGCATGATTCAACACTTTGCCCCAGTTTAGTTTATTGGGAATTTTTGATAATGAGCAAGGAGGTTGTCATTGTTTTGGGTCATTTGCCCAATCCCCTCGTTGCTGAGGAGATTCCAATGAATCACTTGGAAGTGTATCTATGGCCAGAAGACATCTGGTTCTGATTCGGTGCTGACGTCATTGGCTTCGTCTCTCTTGACCCTCATTGATGAAGTCATCTCACCACGCCGTGGCCACTGTTGTGTGCGCCGGCCGGGTGTGGCGTGAGAGTGTTTGTTTGTGCAGGACGCCAGTCAAAGTCTAGCGGACCCTCCCCAGCGCATTCAGAACGTGTCTGTTTGCAGCCGCAGTTAGAAACACGGCTGCTTATATTGTGTCACGTTGCCGGCAGTAAACCTGAGATAAACTTGACACCCAGAATCAATAAAATATCAACTTTTTGTTTAAAGGTATTTTAAAATTTGAAGCAAAAAAAAAAAAAAACTGTTTAGATGTTGGAGTCCATTGTTAACATTTTCTCTGCTCCCTGGTTTTGAAATTTTCCTGAGACATGATGGTTAACGTTGAACCGTATGGATGACATTTATCTGCAATGTTTGGTTAACTTTATCATTATTTATCTAAGCTTTCCCTGCAGAGACCATTGGAAAGCACTAAAGATTAGATAGGAAAGTGTGAAGGGATCATGTACTGGGGGTTCCCTTCACTAATAATATGCAGTACGTAGCTGTAGTATCCCCCCTGCAGGTTTTTGTATTTGATTAAGATTTACTTTGACTGATTTAAAGTGAAAGGAACAGGAAATGGATTTTCCAAATTATTTACTGATAACTTATATTATTATTCTGCCCTCTTTACATGATATCTCCTGGTAAAATCCAGCAGGTCCAATAAGGAAGTTTAAAGTTTATTAGAGAACAAACGGCATCAGGAACACGATTAGAGGCAGAGCTTAACTTAAGGCTGGATGTGGTTATAAGATGATATTCAAAGCTTTAAATATTTCCCAACTCTGTTTTTAATGGAAAGAATCAACCAGTCTGTCCTCCTTGAAAGGCTGTTGAGGAAGAAAACGATTAAAAGCTGTTTTTCCTGTTTGCTAGAAACTATGAAGAAGACACATACCAGCATGATGAAGGTGACTTTAATGTTCCAGCCTACACCCAAAATACCATGAGCCTGAATATAAAACACCTACTAAAAAACAAGGCGGTGGCAGCATCATGCAACGGGGCAAAGTAAATCATAAATAAAATAATGATTTAACTTTATTGTTTTCATCTTGGAGAAATTTACCCCTGCATTTAACCCGTCCCCTTGGGGAGCAGTGTGGGGTTAAGGGTCATGCTCAGAGAGCCAAAGTGGCAGTCTGTGGGAGTGGGGCTCGAACTCAGAACCTCAGGATTCCAAGCTCTACGCCTTAACCAGTAGGCTGCTGCGTACAGGCAGAGCTACAGTGGGACGGTTTACATCCTATTTATGTTTATTTTTCTGAGCTTGAGGTATGTTGGAAAGAAGAAAATCCAAACATTTCAGTCTGTCAGTGCAACTCCAGGAAATACTGTTCTGCTTTTTATATGCAGTGGAAAAAAATCCAAATTATTATTTCTTAAAATAAGTAATTTTTTCTTGAATTTAGAAGGTAAAAGTATGGAAGAGTAATCCTCTTCTGTACCACTGCCACTGAAAAAAAAAGTTGACTGATTTTTAAATTTTCTTTCAGTTTAATATGGGAAAAAATTCCGAATTCTGACTTTTTTCTCAGAATTTTTTGGATCTTAATGTAGATGGGCACCATGAAGGAAGAGATGTGGAGCACTCAGCTTCACTGACAAAGATGTGAGTTGTTTGAGAGGGCCAGTAACACACTGGGGAAAATTACGGAATTAGGCAACTTTTTACGTGCCTGAGGAGTCGCCTCATTAATGGAGGAGCAGAAGGTCATTTAAACAAGAGAGCTAGTCTCTAAAACAGACATGGCTATGGCTTGATGCTAACGTGTTTGCCATCAGTCAGAATTCTGAGATTAAAGTGAAAATTCTGAGAAAAAAGTCAGAATTCTGAGAAAAAAGCCAGAATTCTGAGAAAAAAGGCAGATTTCTGTGAAAAAAGTGAAAATTCTGAGAAAAAAGCCAGAATTCTGAAAAAAGTCTGAATTCTGATATTTTCCCCCATTTTAAGCTGAAATAAAATTTAAAAATCAGTTAACTTTTTCTTTTTTTTTCAGTGGCCCTAATCCTCTTCTGTATAAAATAGACATTTTGCCAATGGAACAAGAAAATTTACATTTAAAAAAAGAAAACAGAATTGCATTGTTTTATCTGTGCATTTTATCTAAATATCTTATTTTAAGAGTAAAAATACGTATTCCATTGGTAAATCATCTCATTTACCAACACAAATTAAGGGTAAAGTACTTAATTTGAGAAATTTTTCCTTATTTCTGGATCGTTTCTTCAGTGTGTAAAATATAGCCGACAGGAAGCTTCTTTTTGATGGTGATAAATGTTTATAAAGTAGTTTAAAACGTGTTTTAACGTAGACTGGATGGACATGCGTTCACACACAGACTCATAGCTGTGCTCTGGTTCCCCCCCCAGGTCTGGACTGCATCTCTCAGAGCAAAGTGGCTGTCTTACTGTTGGCGGGGGGTCAGGGAACCAGACTCGGGGTCTCTTACCCCAAAGGCATGTACAACGTTGGGTTGCCGTCCCACAAAACTCTGTTTCAGATCCAAGCGGAGCGCATCGTGAAGCTGCAGCAGCTGGCAGAGCAAAAGACTTCAGTCAAGTGCTGCATTCCCTGGTAAGGCTCTCGCTCTAATAACTATTATTTTATTTGTTTTAATTTCATTTTATATTCAATGTTTGCAGCTTACATAGACATAAATATACAAACCCACATTTAGTCTGCTGCTCTTCACTTACGATATACTTTAAACAACTTTAAAAGGATTTGCATCGGGTTAAATTAAGCAGAGTAGGTTCCATGACTAAACAGGAGTATCATACAAACATAATTATAGTTGGTTAATTAATATGCATCGCAAATGAAGACAAATGAGTGGAATAAAGATAAAATAACTAAAACTAAGAAATATAAAGTATATAAAAAAGGTAATTTTAGTGGATTAGTATGATCATGGCTGGTTTCCATTTATTAACAAACATCTTTTTAAAGCCTCAGGCAGTAAGTCATTTGTTCCATATGATGGATTTCTCAGACCTTTTAGCAGGACGGGCTTCAACCATTTAACCATGTGACACATTTAAGAGCCGCAATCAGTAAGATTTGGAGAAGGTATTTTTCCTCTTCCAGTAATGTCATTTGGTAAACGTTTTCTGAAATACTTTTCGAAGTCCCTGAAATGTCTTGTCTCATATTTTTCTCAGTTTAGAGCAAGTCCAAAGTATGAGTATGGTTATTTTTAATTAAATAGGTGAACCAAATCTAGCAAACGACCACCTGTGAGTGAGTCCTGGTCATGTTTGGATGATGAATATTTGGGTCAGATCGCTGTGTGAGCTTTACTTTTTTTTTTCTCCAAGGTTTTATTGTCATAACACTGTTACAAGTACAACAAAATTAACTGCATTTAACCCATCCCCTTGGGGAGCGGTGGGCGGCCATTGTGCGGCGCCCAGGAAGCAGTGTGCGGTTGAGGGTCTTGCTCAGGGACCCAGAGTGGCAGTCTGTGTGAGTGGGACTTGAACTCAGAACCTCAGGATTCCAAGTGCACACCCTAACCAGGGGGGGGATTTACCATTAGGCAATACTAGGCAGTT